ATTTAACACAAAAATTTAAGTAAGTGTAAGCGTGGACGAAGTTGTGGGAAATTTCTATTTAGTTATAATATCTAATCTAGTTATAATTTAAAAGTGTAGTAGGTACAAAACAGTTAGTCAATTATTTTCATTTAACTTACCTATAATTATAAATTATTCAAAATGTGTGTTACCCCTGACATGATGTAAAAAGAAACATAATATGTTCCTCTTTCACCGTGAATAGTGAACCTCTTGCCCCAGCTACTGTTTTTGGAGGTTTAGATTTTCAAGCGAAAGAAACTCATATTATTAGTTATTTTTGGACTAAAATGGTTAATAAAAAGAAATAATTACAGTTTTCTCCTTATATCATTACATTCAAAATATTTCCAGCTCTCTTTTTTCACCAAACTATTGGTTCGCAAAAGAAAACGCGCTAACTTTGTACTAGTCGAATTCACAACTGTCAAATTTGTCTTCATTTTTTGTGACTTCTGAGTCACGTAGCGATATCTATTGAAAACCGTTCAAACTATTTCGCATTCACTGTTTTATTGAAGAAAAGTTCATAGTCATACGCACTTCGGTTTACTAGTTATGGTCCCTGACCTGACCTTATATCAAATGCGTAAGTATTTATAATAATATCGAAAATAAAATAATAATTTAATAATAATAATAAAATAACATAAATCGGTTTCACCGTTACACATACATCATATCCGATTTAATTATATATTAACAACCACCAACAAAACTTACCATAATGATATAATATAATACTTTTTGTTAAAAATACAAAGAAAAAGTCTTAAATATATGTAAGTAAAATTAGGTAATAAATTAGTTCATATACCTGGGAAACCGAATATCCGTGCTGTGATTTCGGCGGTCTTTCCAGTCCTGTACCCATGTCGTTGGATGTCGCTATACTGCCTACCTGCTCAGATTTCAAGTACCTCGGTTCCCTCATTCAAGGCGACGGCGAAATAGATAGAGCTGTGCAGTATAGGATTAACGCAGGGTGGATGAAATGGCGACAGGTCACAGCCACAACGTGCGATCCCCGAATGCCAATAAGGCTGAAGGGGAAAATTTACAAATCGATCATCCGACCTGTGGTCATGTATGGAAGTGAATGCTGGGCCGTCAAGAAGAAGGATGAAAATAGATTGCATGCGAATGAAATGAGAATGTTACGATGGATGTGTGGTGTGACAAGGATGGATAAGATAAGGAATGAGTATATAAGAGGAAGCCTGAAAGTAGCGCCAGTGGTAGAAAAGGTGAGAGGAAGCAGATTGGCATGGTTTGGGCATGTGATGCGGAGGGATGAAAGTCATGTTATATGAATGTGGAGGGACACACGGGCAGGCCGAATAAAAGACGGATCGATTGTGTGAAGAGTGATATGAGAATGAAAGGAGAATATAATAGAATAATAGAATATGGAAATGACGGCTGATAGAGAGGAATGGAACAAGAAGATTTACTGCGCCGACCCCAGATAATGGGAAATGGTTTAGAGAATGATGATGACCTGGGATGCCTGTCCGAGGCAATGGGTACATGGACTCAGTGCCTCAAAAAAGTACACTCGGGTTTCTCACTAATTACGTTAATAATTATAGCGTAAAATTTAAAAAAAAAATTAATGCTCTCCAATCGAAAACATAAATATGAAAAGGGAACTAAGTTCGGCACAAACGACATTCAGAATTTTTGGAATTCGGACAAAGGTGCTGAGATCTATACGCCCGTAAACTCCAATGCAGTTCCGAGAATTTAGTATAGTATATTCATTGTATGCTATAATTAAAACAAGTGCTGTGGAGCTTGGCGTCCGTTTAGATATCAATACTTTTATTACTAAACGGTGCCGATAACTAGCGTCCTGAATGTGTATATAAAGCTAAAAATAAAGTGTTATTCGAAGGTTTATTGTTCACTTTTCGTAGACATCTGCAATCAAGTGACTTACACCAAAAAACCATTAGAGTATGGTCAAAACTACCAAGCAGTGTATAACGCATGGGCTAGTTTTGGAGAGGCCAGATTTCAGTTGTGAACTTAAAAATATTTATGGAATTACCATGGTGTCTTTCTCCCTGTTTGTTGTGGTCATTTTTACTATTTACGTAGATTATTGAAATTCGGAAAAGTATTAATAGATATTGCCTGAATCTGTGGTTACTATGTGGTCTTTTAATGCCTGCGGGTCCGTCTGAAGGGAATAGTGAACAAGTAGATATAAATAAAAGCTAAAAGGTATTCCATCTTTGGCCTCAATTATGACTTCGCATCTGTAGCCTTTTATACTTAAAGTTGGTTACAGCTTCTGTAACCACTTACCATCAGGTTGACTGTTAGTTCGCTTGACACTTCAATTTCATAAAAAAGATAGCCGCTAAAATACGGACATCGTATACACAACCCTGTCACAAAACTGGAATGCAACAAAAGTTGTGTCGCCAGCGATGTCATCACATCTCACTTGGCTGCTAGAGCTGAGACGTGGTCCTTTATTGTTTGTCGTAATGCTCAAAATCGCCAAAATGTATCTAAATAGTTTATCTAAATAGCCACTATGCTCGAAGTTTCTTTGCGTAATAGAATCCACAACGATATCTGCTGTACGATTAGAGAGATCGACATAGGCCAACGGAACAGTAAGCTAAAGTGGCAATTGGTTAACCAACAGGTAAATTAACAGGTGTAGAGAAACAAAAAAATATAACTTACAGTCAAAAGCGTTTCAAACTGCACGCAATTTTATATTTGTTATGTATACTTTATAGATACTAAAGATCTTATCCTATACCTTTAAACGAGCAATTCTTGTATATCGTCTGCTTACGGGTAAAAAGTAATAAGAGCAGTTAGTGTCAATTTGAGTAAATGACTTTTCAAAGTTTAAGTTTTAATTAGATCTATTTCAAACTCATTAATAAAAAAATTGTTTAAGCATAATTTTGCACTAACAACCGTTCTTTTAAAATTTACTCTTATATAACATTTAATATTAGTAAAAACTGTATAAAATTTAATTAAGATCGAAAGGGGACCGCATTTAATATGTTTTTTACCTCTACTTAACAAACGTGATATATCTTCTGAATTCATTGACTTTAAAAGCTCATTTCAGTTTTGTATAATGGCTTATTGTATTTTACACCAATAACTTGATAGGAAAGATTTTTTTTTTTGAAAATTCGCTTAAATAATGATAATTTTGATACTTTTAACTTGTTTTGCCTGTAGAATTTTAGTGTAATTATGTCACTTATTAGGTACTATAAACATTATACAAAAGTGATCAATTAAATAAAAAGAAATTAATTTTTACATAGGTAATTTATGAAACAATAATAAATAAAATGATTTTTTTTTGATCAATCAATTTTATTCCTTAACACATAATTATGGCAATCAATCTCCGATCACTAATGAAGAACAATAAAAGTCAATTAATTAAAACGAATACTTTTAGGTAAACGGCTTTTAATTCCATTAAGGATCTTAATCTTCTGATGACTCTTCGTCAATCGAAGGTTCAGGTAAACGATCTGCTTGATTGGTTGCAGTTGGTAGAGAAGGGTATCAACCATGGTATTCCTCAGGAATTATTTTTTTAGTACATAAACTTAGAAGATCTCTCTTTTTAGCTTCACTTATGGGTAAAGGGTTCAAGTAAAGGTGTTTTAAGACAATAGTCTGAGGCGTAGTGGTTTCTTTGCGTTTTTTAGCTCTAGTACTGAGACGTGAGAAGGTTCCGTATTTTTTAAGACATCGATGTATAAGAACGTTTCAGACATGTCATAATTAAAATAAATTTTGGAGCTCTCTTCCTGAAGATATCGTATTCTCTTTATTTTGAGCCACTTCACTTGATTTCCATTATTGTCTTTTGAGCGATTGAAAACAGTTTCATCAGCTAATTTTTTTAAATCGTAAAATTCGTTGTATTTAAATTCTTTCGTTTTGTAGGGCGTTTTAATTAACGAATTACCTTCAACAGTTATTGTTTTTTATCGATCTTGCTCGTTTGAAAATTGATAAATAATCAGGCATGCAGTAAACCTCAGAATTTTTCTTTGCTGACTCAATACTACTGTGCATGCTGTCCACCTCCATGTAACTGTGTCCTGATTCAAGAAACTTTACTAAATTTTTCGTTAGTGAGAAATGTTTTGGACTGCAAATATAAGTAATGCAGCAACATATTGGTTTCGGTTGTGTCCTCCACACGTATCAGAATATATACAAACTTCGGTTACATGAGAAGGAACGCACGTGGAAAGGTAGTGGTACAGGATACTTCCTATTTCGAAACTGCCTCGTTTCCCAAGCCAACCAAGCAAAACAATATGCGTCGTTTGTCAGCGCTACTTCGTATATACAGAGATTGTTAACACATAGTTTTCGATAATAATAAAGCTGTCCCACCAGTCCAGAAGCTATCTGTAACACAGCTTGTAAGTCGAATGTTACACAGCGAAACTGTTTATCTTTCTGCTCTTTCTTTGTCCTTCGCTTTTTCCGAGTAACAGGACGCTTTCCTTGCTAAATAATCCTTGTATTCCCCTTTCAACACTAGTTTTTCGTCATACTACTTAGTTGAAATTGAAGCATATAAAACATTGATCCTTTTTTAGAACAAAAAAAACTAAAATTGTAATGGGTACAAAATATTCTTCTGTACGTTATTTCAGATACCGGAATCATATTATTTTCAGTGCACTTGTCTTTATAAAGTTGATGCATTTTCGTGATGGATAACGAAGCATCCAGATAACGACGCTTAGAAGTTTGCCTTATATAGTGTGGTTCCATAACAGGGAAGGACTCTATGTGTTTTCCCACAAAGTTTACATCAGCTTCATTAGTCTTATTAGGGGATTCATGTTTACCTCTCTTGTCACTATCCTTGTATAGCCCCATATCATTCCGCTTTCGAATAGCATCATTCACAACAGTCGGAGATATAGCTAGCGTGTAATAAAAAACTTCTGACATACCTGCTTCTTCTCTCCGTTGTGAAAAAAGAAACATCTTTCTGTGAATTGATGCTGTTTCTTTGGTCTACGAATAGCAAGAATTCTCTTCGGAGTATCTACTTCCACATTACCGAGAATGAAATTCTTTTGCTCGGTATACCTCAAACTCCAGTAGTGACGACATAAATTATTTCTTTCTTCTGGAGAGATCACACTACACTTATAGAAACATTTCTCACAGTCAACCTCTTTTGGTGTTTTAGCACTCCTATCTTTTTTTCTCGTTGAATAAGGTAAATCTTCAGATCGTCTTTTCTTCGCGATATTTACTTTCCAATTTTCAGGTTCTGGTTTCATCCAACGTTTCCTTTTCCGAGTAGCATCGAATACTCCCTTCAATAAGAGTCCCCAAAGAGATATTACGACTTGTTGTGCATCAGATGTTGGCAACACCTGTGCGATCATAACGTCACCGTCATTAGGTTGAAATTCTTCGTCATGATCGTCTCCATAGAATCGCACAACATTTTCTAAATTCTCAACCTTGTTATTCGCCCATTGTTCTCCAAATAAAACCTCTGGTTGTACTAAAAAGCCTGGATCCGGGTTATAAGTGGGATCTTTATCAGAGTCATCGCTGTCAAACATGCGCTCCATTTCTGTCACTATTCTCTCCCTAGAGTCGCTCAAAGCCGAAGTACAGTTCGAAGACGGGCTACAAAACCTTTGATGCGAAGGGACAGGCTCTTCATCCAAGTCATCTGTGAAAAATTAAAAAGAAACAAAAGTAGATAATTATAAGATTATAATGTAAACAAACAATGAATCGTGCGCTTAACCTTGACAATAACTCATCATTCTGTGTTAACAATGGAAAGAAAGTAAGTATCATAGCAACTGTAGGTACCGACATAAGTGTTACGGAGCCATATACACACTCAAGTAATTACTTAAAACAAGAATTCCTTACGTACATTTTTGAAACAAACGAAGTCTAGCATAATCGTAACCTTAAAAATGGAGTTAGAAATCATACAAACATACACATAAAAAAGCTATGTACGTACTAAAAACACCATACGAGTACGAGCAAACATTACATAAGGAAATCGTTGAACAAAACAAAAGCTACTAATTTAACCTTATAATTTAGCCTTATTATATAAAATTTAGAGTTTAAATCACTCACCTTTACGCATTTAAGGTTTATTTATCATAGACACTAATCTTTTTCCTCTGGATTCCATAATTATAATAAAACACAACTTCTTACTAAACTATTGAGCTATTAAAACTTTTATTTCTACGCTGAGCACGTGGAACACGCGCGCACGCAATGTTACAAGTTACAACTGCGATCGACCGATCGATCGCTCTTGTTCCTACAGGTACAGGTAAAAAAAGCATAAATGACATTTATTTCGTTTTTGCTGTAGATACATTAGCAAACCAAGTAGCATTATTTAATTGGTAAAATGGAATAAATATCTTTATTATAGTTATGGTATTTAAATTATATGGTTCATAATAATAAATGCGTTTATGACCTTTTCACAGAAAAATTCTTACCATTTTACTATTTAAATTATAAAATGTAAAAGGTTTAACCGTATTTATTGTTGTTTAACTGTATAAACTGAAACAAATAGAAGCCATAAGATTCTTTATTATGTTATACTGGTATATTTTTTCAAAATGTGTGAAGATATCACTATTACAAACTGTTTATCTCTGCAGTCATTGGACTCTGTATTTATTCGGTTTTACCACCAGATAGCGCGTAAAAAATTACATGTTACTGCATTTTTAACTCGATAAATGCATTTATCTTGTTTTACCGGTAAGCAGACGATATATTTAATTGGAATCTCGGAAACGGCTCCAACGATTTTCATAAAATTTAGTGTCCAGGTAGTTTCGGGGGCGATAAATCGATCTAGCTAGGATTTATTTTTAGAAAATGTCTTTTTGTCCGTGTTTTCAGGCAATGAAAAACTGCTACAATATAAGAAGGTAAATTTTGACACAGTGTTAATGTCCTGGGCGGTTCTCACCGTCCAGACCAGTCAGAGACGGGGGTCCGCACTCCCCTCTCGGACTGCGGTTAGATAGCTCAAGAAACGCCTAAAAAGGCGACATGATGATTGGTAACAATACCAAATCATAAACCACTCATGATCATCCTCACCTCATTGCCTTTCCCTTTTTTAATTAGCTCCCTGAGTCAGTTGAAGCTGTTAGAGTCGTATAGACTAACAGCGCTAACATCCAGAAAATAGATAGACAGTGTTAATGATCGTAATAGCTCAAGTGCATACCGAGCGGTCGCGAAATCGTAATGCATTGATTGGTTCGCGTTCTGTCTTCGGTCCGACTTTTTTTCATTTTTTTTTTCATTTCCCTTCTTTGTGAGAAAATCTATTATTTCGAGCCCTTTTTTAGTATTTTTTAAAAATAAGAAAATTTTAACTTCACTCTTGTTTTTTCTATTATCAAAGATCAAAAAATAAATCAGTTTCATCATATAATTTGTATCTAAATGTAATTTCAAAAAATAACGAGCGCTCGGTCATCCCGGTACTCATTATTACATGGATATTAAAACTATATATGTACATAGTTATATACATCATTATTATTTAAGAATGTATTAATATACTACATTATTTTAAATTTATGTTATTTTAAATTTTGTTCAACTTATGTTAACAATATGATTATACAGTACGGTTACCTAAATTTATTACCTTAGGTTATGGCTACAACTTCATTGCACGTGATTGTACAAAAGAAGAAATAATATTTACAATGTCGCTTTAGATTGATATACGGACATATACCTACGACTTGTTAATCATCATATTTTGTATAAATACGCATCACACTTGTCATGAATGCATCAATCAAGAGTAAGATAAGAACATCGATGCGTGCTAACTAATGGGACGATCTTAAATCACTGTTTTGTTATTGTTACGTTTGCAGCCGATATATCAATCACAATTCGCTGTGACGTTCGATATCATGTCACAATAATATTCGCAAATTATTACTTCTTTATATGCATGGTGACAATAATATATTGTCACGAAAACCTATATAAAAATCTAAAAATAATTTTTTTAAAATAGGTAAATGTAGAAGTCAAAACAAGGTCACAAGATTTTTAATTCAAAAAACACATTTTTTAAATAACAAGTCAAGTGTTCTGGCTGATGTGTGCTGTGAAGCATCGTCGTGGTGCCAGTGAAGGTGCGGATTCCTGACTTGGGTCGCCTGTCAGCCCAAGCTGATAATGTTTTTAGGGCACAAACTATCACATATTACTCGAAGTTAACCGTTCTTTGATCCTTCATCGTCACAATATGACGCGTCTTGCAAGAAAACGAAGCGCCAATCCCTTTTCTATGAGGTTCACGCACGAAGAAATTTCGTTGACTTACTATCGCTTTGTTTTTGGACCATAGTAAAATAGCCACGTTTCATTGTAAGTCAATAAGTTGACTTAAGCGTTGTTTGGGGTCATAGTTAAATATTCATGTTCCATCGTCAGTAAGTATATCACAAATGTTATTTTTTCTCACCGACTTTGAATATCTCTACCACGAACAATTTATCGCATTTTATTTCTCGAGCATAAAAAACCGTCAGATAAGTTTGTGCGGCACCAATTTCAGAAAACTCCTTGGTCGTGAATGATCACCAATACCTAGTTTTCGCTCCGACGAGTCTTCGCTTCATCTTCAAAACTTCCCCGGCCCTTTTAGAATTTATGTAACCAATAAATAACTATTGCTCATAAACAAGCTGCCTCACTTAAAGTCATAGCACCAAATTCAAAACACTATTGAGACATTAAACCAATTCTATAAATCATAGCGCGATCGATAATCACATCCACCGAGCTCTATTGTGATGAGCGAATTCCTTAGAATTTTCGCTAGCCGCTATATTTACACCATAATATCATTTTCGTAATAAAATATGAAAATAATGAGTTTTCCATTTTTAAATTTATCAGTAAATAAATATCTATACGATGATACAACCTTTCGAGTGTCAAACAAATAAATAAATGGTATCAAATTGCTTTTGGTAAGGTCCTTTAAGTAAAACTAATATGAAATGGCCGCTTTAATAAAATTATTAATAAGTTGCATTTAGTATAAAATAAAACAAAAATATTATACTGAATTCAACACCAACAAAGACTCAGTCCGTATTTACAAGACACGTGTAGAGTACGCATACTGGGGTGAAGAACCAGACGGACCGGGCGATAAGCTCACTGTACTATTATAAATCATAAACGTAAATGTAGCAAGCAGCCTTTGACCCTTGTTTGATGATGCTTCAGGCCTGCTCCGCTGATGGCCACAGGGTATAAATAGAGCGAAAACGCTTTCGTATAATGAATTCGAACTGGGCCGATCCTGAAGTTTCACAATTCAATGTTATAATTGAGGTCAGTGGATCATCGCAATGGCTGACTGGATAACGTCAGTCGAGAGCTGAATGATCATAAATGTTATTAATGGTGTCTACTTGGATGCGTGCGTTTCGATTTAACCACACTTATTAAATCTTTGCAAGACTGTTGTAATATTTTCCTGTAGATTCTTTTATTTTGTTGTTTAACATTTTTATTTTTCAAAAGGAATTATTAAAAACGATTACAGGAAATATGACCTTATTGCTGCGAAATAGTAAACCTAAAAGAAACCACAAGTATGTTTCAAGTAATAAATATGTCGGAAATACAACAAGATTAGGCCAATTGTGTGGGAAATAACAGGATAGCGTTAATTATTAAAAATGGTAAAAGTGTGAGAGCCGATGTTCAACTTACTCTCTTGCTTGCGCAATTTATCGTTATTAATAATAGGACAGCGTAACGCTCTATACATTCAGCATAGAGTAATTACAGTTTGACCATACCGCAGTATGTCCCCATCACAATTACACACCAGTGCAATGTGAAGGACACAACTACATGATAACACCAAATTATGCAAACCAACAGCAACCTTACCCATCTCAACGTAACACAGCACAACCTCTCAGCAACACCATCCTTCTTGCCTGCACCAGAAGAATCACCACAATGGACAGAACAACGATTATCTTAGCACGCGTAGACTGACGTCACTCGTGAAACGACTCGAACGGAATGTCCCGCGCTCTGCACCTACATTGATTTTTATACCGCACAAACGAGTGGAAAGGTTTCTCGATATACCCTCAATTCCTACAAGTGACGAGAACCAACCGGCATTTTATAGATGCACCTACAAGTAAAAACAAATTAAATAACGCAATGTACAATTTACTTAACTATTGAACGCTTACATATATATTATGGGCTTATGGTCCAGCGGAGTCATTGTTTCCTGTGATAGCGCAGCCGCCGCACCGCTGCTGAGCGATAAACGCCTCTACTGACTTCCGCCCATCTCTATCTCCCACTTATCGTAAACAAGCACGTTTGTATACAAATAAAATAAAAAAGCACCTTTAACTTTGGGTTACAAAGGGAAGACTTAATGCTTGCTGGAATTATTTAGCAGTCAACTTTTTTTTTATAGAAGAGGGGGCAAACGAGCATGTGGCTCACCTGATGTTAAGCGACTACCGCCGCCCATGATCAATTGCAACACTAGAGGAATTGCAGGTGCGTTGCCGGCCCTTTAGAAAGGAGTAAGCTCTTTTCTTGAAGGTCCCCAGGTCGTATCGGTCCGGAAAAATCACCGGTGGTAAATTATTCCACAGAGAGATTGTACGCGGAAGAAAACTCCTTTTGAAACGTACAGTGGTGGACCGCCAAGCATCCAGATGGTGTGGATGGTATCGGGACGTATGCCGTGTAGTGCGTTCACGAAATTTGGCGGCTGGGATTAATCCGAACAATTCCTCAGAGCACTCCCCGTGATAGATGCGATAAAATACGCAAAGAGATGCAACATCTCTTCGCAGCGCCAATGAATCGAGCCGATCGGAAAGCACTCGGTCGTCGACGATTCGAGCCGCTCTGCGCTGGATGCGGTCAAGTGGAAGGAGCTGGTACTGGGGAGCCCCAGCCCAGAGATGGGAACAGTATTCCATGAGCGACCGAACCTGCGCCTTGTAAAGTTGCAGGCGGTGTACCGGCATGAAATACTGTCCCGCTCTGCTGAGCACGCCAAGCTTATTAGAGGCCAATTTGGCCTTCCCTTCCAAGTGACCACGAAACTGCACGTCACTCGATATGTCGACGCCGAGGATTCCGATACTGGCTGAGGCAACAAGGGGAGTGCCTTGAAACTTAGGGGATACGACAAAGGGGTTCTTTTTAGCGGTTAACGTGCAAACTTGTGTCTTCTGAGGGTTAAATTGGACTAGATTTAGTCGCTCCCATTCCAAGACTCTGTTTAGCAGAGACTCGACTTCAGACACAAGTTTGTCCCGGCACTCAGAGACGTTTTCCCGAGAAATATTGGCTCGGCCGGTGTAAAGAGCATCACCAGTGCTATCATCTGCATAGCAATGAATGCTACGGGTTTGCAACATATCATTGATATGCAGAAGAAACAGCGTTGGCGATAGCACGCAGCCCTGTGGAACACCAGCATTAATAAGCTTGCAATCGGAGCTTGCACCGTCTACAACGACCTTGATGCTCCGATCTGCAAGAAAACTGGTGATCCAATCGCACAATTTCTCGGGAAGCCCATAGGAAGGGAGCTTCGAAAGAAGCGCTCTGGGCAGAATGTTATAAAAAATGTTGGCAATCAAGAGCCTGCATCTTGTAAAAGGAGTAAAAACTGACTACTCTTCTTCGGTGGCTTGAAGTATGTTTTTGTGAGAGCTCGTTTAAAAATATAGCCAATATTTTCTTGTTGGGATGTCAAGCTCTGACATATGGTAGGTCAGGACGCTTGACTGTGTCCGGTGGAGCTTTGAGGCACCGCTTTTATTGAACACGAACAACCGAACTCAAAATGAAGAAGTATTCAGAGGAACCCAGTACACAGAAATAAGATATAGATAATATGCAAATTCTTTGTTCCAGGAATCATGATTTCCCAAAAATTACGTAATTTTACATACATTTTACATAGTGGATATATTTTGATACCCACTATGAGGCTATTAACTCACTTGAAAATAAGTTATACCTAATCAAATTTTTCTTTTGTGCAGCATTTTTGGTATGGGTTTTGACCAATAGTAATTTAATTGCATTAAAACATATTGAGACATTAATTTTGTTCAGATGTATCCAGAGGAACTTTTATATGAACTAAAATTAAAAGCTTATTGCTAAATATTGGTTGATCATTTTGGTCAAAAGGTTGTCTTGCATATAAAAGGGATACCTCAAGGAACGTTTTTAATACCCGTTATTTTATTACTATATACTCATTCTCGACCTGAACGTAACAAACGAACTTCTACTCCACCTGATGGTAAGTGGCTACTGTAGTCCATAGACGCCTGTAGCTAACTTCAAACAAAGAAGTCTACAGGTTTGTCACCTCTGAGGACTAAGATTGAATGTCGCACAACCTGTAATTATATTAGCTCTATATACCCTTCAGTGTGGAAAACAACAGTGCAAGCACTACTGTTTGGCAGCATCAATAAAAGGTTGGTACTTACCCGGATAGAAAAACAACCCTGTGGTGGTTTGTGGGCGATGTTACAGCCCTTCACAAGTCTACTGCCGATTATAGGCCTCCCCTAAAAATCGTCTCGAAACATAGTACTGAGCCACTTTTTTTATAGAATTAGGGTGACAAACGAGCACACAGTCCACCTGATTTTAAGGATGCTGTGACCCATAGACATCTACATTTAACCTAGATTACAAATCAAATTGCTGATGCGTTATCACCCCTGAGGACTAAGACGAAATGCCTCGATTTCAGTAAAATGTCCACCATACGGAACATAGCAGCATCAAGCTGCTATTTTACGCTGGTATTCTGCGAGAGCGTGGTCCTACCCCAGTCGAGTTGACCCTTTCGTGCTACAACCATAATATAGCTGAAGCGTGGCTCTACCACGTATAAAATTTGCATCCATTTATCGCCTTCCTGCAAGTCTTACTAGGTAGGTCATCACTCCATCTATTGTGGGGCGATAATAAATTTCTTTTATAAAATTGGAGAGACTAAGTTCACCGACAGTTAGTAGCTAGGTACCTAAGTATATTAGGACACCTAAAACCAACTTCAAATAGAGAAGGCGTTATCACTTGTGAGGACTAAGATGGAATGTCACACGGCTTTCAATTATACCGGTTTTCTGCACCCTTCGGTAACAGTATGATATCTACCTAGACGATTGCCTAAAAAGTCCTACCGCCTATTAATGCGTTTAATAATGATGATCAAAATTAAAAATATATATTTGATATTATGAACTCTGCAAACGTCGAATGAGCACATAGACGTGATTAGATTATGTGTTATACGATAACACAA